CCCTGGAGTCAGGAAAAAAGCCATAATCGCTGCAGTAAGAAGATAGACTTCTGATAGCTATAACCATCTTAAGAAGGTGATCAGCTTTCTCAGCAGCTGAATTTGTCCACGCTGGGGCAATTCACTGTAAATTGGGTGCAAGACAGTGGCAGTCCCTTAGGAGTCACTGAGAGCAGAAGGCTGGGCCAGCACCGTGGCTGGTGTGTCCTGCAGCTACTGGGCTTGCTTCCTGCCAGCAACTCATGTTCCCAAGTTAATGCTCCTTCATGTTTTATCTCCCTCTTTTCGTGTAAATTTGTGAGATTTTCATATTTCCTGAGAACTTGGACTCTGTAGTTTCTTTTGGTAGGATTCTGAAAGGGAGTTCAAGCTAATGTTTTTTTTGGTTTTTTTCTGTAGGAATTTATAGAAACAACTCTGACAGTGCTGGGCATAAGGAATACACACTTTCTATGCTTGTTCATATTTAAGATTATCTGTATAAAGGGAAAAGTCATAGTATAAATTTAACTACAGTTTTGATGTCTGTGAATGCACGACTAAATAATTAAATTGGAATAACTGTTTCTCATTTTGACAAAAATGCAATTTTCTCTCCATCCTTCACCAGGTCTCCCTGCTCACCACCAACAATAGTGTTCCAGGAAACTTTTCATGATAAAAATAGAAAAACAAAAAATAACAAAGCAGAGACAGAAAGAAATGGTCTCAAAATTATCTTTTCTTTTTCTTAGAGGAATACAATCAACATAATAAAGATGATTTTAAGTAATCTGAGAGTTTTTAGTAATACTTTAGAAGTTAAAGCATTTTAAATTATTTTAACATTGTAGTATTCTACTAATATGCAGTGAGTTTTTGGCCATGGTTGTAAGACTCTAGAGTGCTGAGATTTTCTGAAAAATATACCTTTTCAAGATTTTCTAGTCAGAGTATATTCCTTTCTAAAATAAAGTTCAATGTTTTGAAGAGAGACAATGCCTCTTTCAGCTATTCCATTTTATCTCTTTTATTACTTACATAATTTATGTAAATAATATATTCAATTACTTACATAAGGTATGTTTTTAGGACCTTCGCAAAGTAGTTTTCCTTGCTAAATTCTGATTTAAGTGTTTCAATTAATACATTTGATTTTTAAAAAATATCTATATCCTATAGGATATTCTATATCCTGTTTTGTCATTTAGAAAAAATGATGCAATGTTTCAGACTGTTTTGGAAGAATAGGAGCACCTTTTTGGTATCAATTCATCAATGTTTTGCTATTTCTTATAATGATCAATAAGATTAATGTTGTGGTTTGCTGCTAAGAATGTACAATGTCCACATTTCTGGCTGACTTTCTGTTAATTGATCAACATTGAGAAAATCCTCAAGTTTCCATTTAATTTTGTTGCATGTTATCTCAATCAGATTGACAATCTGATTAAACTTTGTCAGAAGCACTTCATACTGACATAATTCAGTACAACCCCTAACTTCTTAAGAAGAAAAATAGCCTTTCTTTCTTTCTGGCTTATTGACTCGTTTTCATAATGGCATGAAAAGACATCTTAATTTGCTTGTGGGATATATGACTAATAGAGTCATATAATAGAATACCTTTCATCCCCAATGAAAACTACAATATGAGACTTCATTGTTTTCTCTTTAAGAAGTCATTATGTAATTTCAGTACTTACTGAGATGGAAGATGTTCATTAAAAACCTGAGTCTTGCTTCAAAGCTTCCAAGCCTCAAAGTCAAGTTAATATTTTCTGTAGAAGTGAAAAGCCTGTAATATATAAAGCAGTTTGAATTTAATTTACATAATGCAAAATAAAATTACTTCAGAGAAGTGCAGAGTTTTAAGAGAATATGAAAATCATATGGCTTTGTTTGGTGAAGCCTAGAAATGTATTGTATTAAAATGCCTAGTAATCCCTGTGCTCTAATAGGTTTGTTACATACCTGGATTGTCTTTAAGGGAGTACCATTTTCTTGTAAGCTCACATATTGTAAAAGGTTTCGTAATGACATTTATACATTTCATAATTTGGCATTTCATAATTTTTAATAACAGTTTGGGTAAACAATAAAGACACATAGGGTAATTTTCATTGTAAAAGAAAGAAAATGCAAGGTACTTTCTTACCTGGCTGTCCAATAAATTTGGCAGAACAAAATGAAATTACTTAAGAGGAAGTAGTTTGGTTTAAGAAAACAGGCACGGCTGTGGTGCTTTTGTTTATCCTTTAGCAATACCTAATTTCTGTTGGTCCTTCACATTGTGCATGCAAGCTTAGTAGTAACTGGTGCCTGGGATTTCAGATAGGCCAGCAAGATATTAAGTCTAGTAACTTTTGGTCTAACTACTTATTAGTGGTTACTACCTTGGTCTGATTTTTCTCTTGCTGTAGGACCTTGTTCTTAAAGCATTAAGGTCTTGACATTTTAAACCTAAGGCAGACAATGAAGTACATGCAATATCTGGGAATACAGACACCCACTTTGTCTGTTGGTTGTTGTGGCAGTGTGTCCTAGAGATTATGATGTGGAAGCAAATCTCAAAAAGGATGAAAAGCAGCCCAAAGCAGCCTCAAACAGTGTGTGAGGTGATGTCGAAACTTTATTCATAATCACGACGTTGAATTAATTCTTGCACATAGGAGATCAAGTTTTCTGCAGTACCCTGTAGTGGCTTGTGCTTGAATTTAACAGAGGACTGAAAAATAGCATTGTCCTAGGTGGACTTGAAGCTGCTTAGTCTTATGGCACTACTGCAAGAATTTGGAGTAGCAGCATTCAGCTCAAGTAGGGCTCACTTTAGGACTTAGGATTTTTTTTGTCAGTGACTAGTCAGCTATTATTTTCAACACTTTCAAGTCAAAATTATCTCATCTTCCTGTAATTTTACAGTTTACAGCAAACAAGTGTTGGGTGATCTTCAACATGAGTGATTAAGCTAGGGAAGTGATTAAGCTAAATATTAGTTAGGGAAGTTTTTTATGGGCTGGGACCTAACAAAACACCCATATGCTTTGCAGTGCAAGAAAGAAGAGTAGAGAAACAGGGATGCAAGAAATGAAACACCAACAAGCAAAAATAATGGACTAAATGTGAATTTACTCAGAAGTGAAGGAAATGGTGGACTAGAAGAGAAAGCAAAAGAAAGAGAGTTGTTTAGTTTAAAGAAAAAGAATTGGGAAAGATGTGAAAAACAACTTTCCATTTCAAACTATAAAGCCAAAAGGGAAAATGGTTCCTTGCACTTGTTATGAGCAGAAGAATAAAGCTCATAGCTTGAACTCCATCAAGGGTTATGTAGGTGGCATATACCTTCTGAAGTTGTTTCTGTTGGATCTTTGTTGGTCTGACTGCACCCACAATATCAGTATTATGTTGCTGCTTGAAGGCATTTTCAGTTATGTCTTCTAAAATATAGCTCCCATTCTCAAAACAATTATCTTGAAAGAGCTGGTGCTCTTTCCACTAAAGGCTCCAGAATTATTGCCAAAATTAGACAACTGATGGTAAAATTTAGCTCTGTACAGCTGGACAGAGCAAAGGCTATCTCATATTTAGGTCTCACATTAATCAACAAAACAAGATTTCTGTGAAGGGTAAGCCTTTTTCCAGGATCCATGATAACACAGTCATTTTCTCCATAAATTACAAATGTGAAGACTCCATATTTCAACTGTATTCAATCCAGTATGATGCACAAGTATAAAAAAAAAAGTAATTTTCCTCACTTTAATGAATCTAGCATTAAATGTACTGATAGTTTATTAGATACTTGGAAAACTACAGAACTATGCAAATACTGAGTATAATCTATTTGGAACCTTTTTGTTTGTTGAGAGCACTTTACAGGGAACCATTACATAAAGTATATTTAATTTGTATCATTGTTGAACAATTCCTTAAAGATTGGCAAATGCTGTACTCAGAGGACTTGACTGAGAGCCAAATTACTGGAAGATTGCCAACACCACTCTCACTCCTTTATAATAAATTCAGAAAAATTGCTGTACCATAAGAATTAATTTTTTTAATTTGCATGGTTTTAAATACTGCATGTACTTTTGTGGTGGTAGAAAGTGCTAAGGAAAAAAAAATAAAGTTTGTATATAAAAGCCAGAAATAGCCTGTTCGTGAAACTGAGTGATAAATATAATACCATACGACATATCAAGCAAAATACCTGGTTATTTTTGTCAAAATTTAAAAGTCTGTACCATGAGCTTAGATTAAGCTTCAGTCTCTGTAGGTAGCATGCATTCACTTACATTTTAGTAGCAAATGTTTTCTCATCTCATAATTACTCAGATTTAGTTTTGTTTTAGTTTATGTAATATCTATATAATATAAAATGGCCTGAACCTAATCATTTGTCATCTGTGATAACTTTTATGTATTATTATGAGAAATTGTCATGACATCTTTCCAAGCTGATGTAACACTTTTTCATCACCTTGTAATGAGTGTAGGGTTCGGTGTGTCTGTGGTAGTTCAGTTTTGATAAATGCTCTTATCTAAGGCCCTGCTCTTCTGGATGGCAAATAAATGAATGTTTTCTTGTGTGAATTATGGTATTGTATTTGTGTTGTGCAAAACATGAATCCCACTGATGTCCACAAAACTCTTTTTGACTGGATAATCTGCTTATTCTGAGAAAGGATATAAGAAAGCCTTCCTTGAGAGTCTTGAATAATATCAAAATACTATTTACATACTCATGGAGATGGACAGCCTTAGTTCAGTGCTCAGGTGATGCTTCTCTTTTGTCCTGCCCTCAATATCAGCAGGCAGGATGGCCCTGTTTTGTTTCATGTTCTCTTTTATTATTTTCCTGCACATTCTTCAGAATGCCTTCTGGGCAGGCTTTTCTCAAATTATAAAATGGAAAGAATAATTCTTTCACCTGCAAAAGTGTTAAAAAATATTGTTAATATGGTATTCAGTCAATTTTATTTTGGTTTTTTTGTTGTTGTTTTTTTTTTTTTCTTTTCCAGGATTACTTACTGCCATCTACCTTTCCAGAGTAAATGGCTTTATGTTGGAACAGAGAGAGGAAATACACACATTGTAAATATTGAGTCCTTCATTCTTTCTGGATATGTTATCATGTGGAACAAGGCAATAGAACTGTAAGTGCAGATTTTTTTTTCATTTGTATGTGTGGCATTTTTATAGCTGTCTTAAATTTACTTTTTAAGAATTATTTGGTTGTTCAAACATTACCAGATCTTTTGAAGCCTTTAATTTCAGTGAATGCATTTGCAGTATTAACTGTTTTTTACAGGACATTAGGAATTAGATTTATATTGGAGACCATGTAATTACATTTCATATAAAAGAAAAAAAAGTTGTACTGTTTAACTATGAAGTTCCATGAAATACAGAAAGCCTTTAATCACTAAAATTCAGATTTTGCTATTTTTATGAGGAAAGTTTGATCACTGTGTCTCCATCCTGTGAAGAGAATAATGGAGGGTATTTGCCCTAAGATTCTATAGAGAACTTTTCTTCATTGAACTGTGGGATCATTTAGATGAGAAGGGACAGGAGGAGGTCTCTAGACCAAGCCTCCTGCTCAACACAGTGAGAATTTGAAGGTTATTTCAAATAGATCAAAACATGAGGAAGTGATGGGAAAGATAATGAGTGCCTATTAAAAGCTAAGGAAGGTGCCTCTGTTGTGGGTATGAAATGGAAAGAGACATACAAAAATCTGGGCTACATCTATGCTTCCTGTAAGTAAAAGCCTTGACAGAAATGAAAAACTCTTTCTCTGCTGGTTCTTCTATGAAGTTCCAGCAAAAGGAACTTCTGTGGGAAAGCACAAAGTACTTCTTGCAGTTTCTGAGATGTTTGCTTAATGTTGTGAGTGACCAGTTACCTCTGGTAGTAAACTGACATACACTGATCTCAGTGAACCAAAAGAACAGTAGCTAAGAACAGGGTTCCAGGCCTGCAGTGTAACTCCAGTTCTCAAAAATTCAATCCTTTCTTTTCCCTCTATTATTATTATTATTATAGTAATCACTCTGTCCCCCAGGTTGAATTGATGCCTCATTTTCTTTCTCTCTCTCAGCCCTCACCAAACTTCATAGGCACATTTGTAAAAATCTAGATTTGCCTTCAAAAGATATAAACCCAAGGATTCAAATAGTAATCAGGATTCAGTCTGCTGGTGTATCTTTTGTCCAGTTCTCAATTTTGGAATGTTTGGTTGTTCTGTTCCTCTGGGACTGCTTGGCTCTGTTTAATAGTTTTGGCTGCAAAAAATTAATGCTGGAAAACATGTTTTCCACCAGAGTATGATCATTTTGATGAGTTATTCAGATGGAAAGTATACTAATTGTTTTCTGTTTCTCACTTTGTTTTGGTGATATTGACATATTGGAGGGCTTTTTGAATCCTGTGTTTTAGAATGTCCATTTTTACTACATTGAGTAGATATCATCTTTAAGTTTTTGGGAACCATATGTTTTCATTTTTTTGTGCACTTGTAATTTTGTTTCCTCCAGAAATTAGGATGTTTCTATTCTGTAGGGAAATAGATCCAAAGGTTTTTATGGACTGGAAGCCTTCCACCAAGTTTCACTTTATAATTGTTTCAAAATTCTTCTGGATAAATGTTTTTAAATTATTTTAGTGGCCACAACAAACATTTTTCATTAAAGTAGAGTACAATGATGCCCCTCTTTCTATATGGAAAATATGGGCTGCTTTCTAACAAGAAATTGATCACAATTGATTTGTTGACATAGGCTAGTGCAATATGCTCCCTCTCTAGAACCTTCAATGAAGCAAGCAGCCCTTCCTAACTATCTTCATTGTATTTTCTATGCAGTAAAATATCTAGATTTTCCAAATTTTCTCTTTCCATAAGTTGTAAAAGGTAATGACAACACAATAGACTGTGTCACCTCAAATACTTGGAGGTGCTGCATGGTTACCAAAATAGGTTGTTCCTCTAAACAGCAAGTTTGCCATGTACTGTTTTGTTGAGGTGATCTCAGGTATTCATTTATTACTGCTTCTAGTTCTACCAGTCTTACAAGGATAAATTGATCCATGTAAGCAGTGTGCTTCTCTACAGCTCCATCCTTTCCATCCAACCTTATAATGTGGTTCTTGATATGGAGTGGAGGAAGTTGTCCTTGTAAATGTTTTGCAGGTGGACAGGGGATCCTATGTGTCTCCAGATTAGTTTCTCTGTATTAGAGGAAGAGGCTGGTGGGAATAATCATTATGTTTGCCACAGCAGCCACTTGTATAAATGCTATAGGCCCTCTGAAGTTGAAACTGGGTGACTCAGTAAAGTAATTGGAACACTCTTTGGTAATAAACTGATGTCTCTTCCAGTACTGTTGCTTTCCTGCATGTAAAATTGAATGTAGATTAGCTTTTAAAGGAAATGTTATTACATTTAAATGTACTTCATGCGGGTGAGGTTATGATTATAGACTTTTCCTTTAGAATAGTACTGAGAAAAATGTTTGAGAGAACAGTTTTATTTCAGGCCATGGATATGTTCTGATTTGATTATATTTTTAATCTCCACGTTATTTTCTCATCATTTTTTCATATTTTTCACATTTTAATATTATAGAATCATAAAATAATTCATGTTGTAATGCTTCTCTGGAATTTTCAAGACCAACTTCCTGCTTACAGTAAAATCAGATTGTTCTGGAATGTATAAGTTCACAGGGTCTGTTGATGTTAGGTGCTTTCAAAGATGACAGAAAACAGGAAAATATATATATGCAAAATTCAGGAAAATCTTCAACCTTATGTAAGGGGCAATGGTGCTCATAACATTATGTTAAATTCTGAGTTAATGATAACATTTCAGAATGAGAGGTTAGCTTGAAGATGTTACTCTTCTCTATAAAGCTTGTAAGGAAAGGGATTACCTTTTATGCAATCATATGTCTTTCAATTTATCGGCAAAAAAAGACCAGTAAAAGCCCTTGCTCTGCTGCTCTATTCAACTCCTCATCTTAGATGAAGGGATTAAATAAAATAAATAAAATTTTAAGTGTGTCAAGCTTGTGTATCATCTGCTCTAACAAGCCTGAAGGAGTTAATCCCTCTTCATGCGATTCTCATCCAGTTTCTAAAACTGAAAGTCTACCAACATAACTTCTCTTTCTTTTAATTGCCCCCTCTTACTTTTCACTGATTTATATCTACTTTTAATGAAAACTCCATGTAACACTCACCCTCAGAAGCAATCAAATATTTTGAGTCAGTGAGGCCTATCGAATGTCTGCAATAGTTTTTTTGTAACAGTGATTCTGTTGCCCTGAAAGACTGGGGTGAAAAGGCTAGATAGTTTGAAGACTTGAAGGGGAAACAGGTTTAGATGCAACATTTTTAGACTTTGCATATGATGCAAGAAATTTGATCACCTTGTCCTGCACAGATACTTTTACTTACAAAGTTGGCATTTGGTGCAGAGGGTTTTTTTCATTATTTTCTTGTCTATTTTTGTATCTAAAAGATCTGTAGAGTACTATTTTGTTTGAGTGTTTGTGGTTTTATGCCCTGTTCAGAAGCATCTAGTGGAGATACATGTGAAAAAGATGATTGCAATACATAGTCTATCATAAGTGACTATTATCTAAGATTCTATCATAAGTGACTATAATAAGACTATTGTCTTCTCTTAGGAGAGAACATTCAGTGAGCTTAAACAGAATCTAGCGTTAGATAGAAATTAAGGCCTGAACAGCTAATAATGCAAAGGAAACAGATTTTTTTTTTTCTTTTTTCTTTCTTTTCTTTTTTTGATTATTTTCAGAACTAAGTCATAACCAATTCTGGAAGTTACAGGAAAAATTTCCTTCTTAAATTATGTACACTGTCTGTGTCTCAGTGGACCTGTCCTTGAACAGAACTGAGAAAAAACACACACATATGGGTACCAATTCTTGTCTCAGCCATTTCTATCATCTCATGCATCATCAATACTTCAGGCCACATCAAAGCAATCTTCTCAGCTAAGAATTAATAAATCCAAACTTTTTCACTTGTCATTTCTCTGTCATGTAGCAGAAATAGTCCTTTGCCAGAGGGGTTTGAGGCTCATGATACTGTTTGGTTTTCTACTCTCTAATAAGCAAACAGTTTATCTCTTTTCCTTCCAAATGTTTGGAAACAGCTTTGGAAGAAAAAAATAGTCAATCAGCCCAGCATGTCTCCATTTACTCCAACTACAATGAGATCAATTTTCACAGCATGATCATACATTTGGGAAGGTCATCTAGTGTTGGAAAGGAAAAGAAGGTCTTTATATGTGTCCTTTGAACTCCAAAAATGAAAAATCTGCATTGTAAGCCCCCAGTAAGGTTCCAGTGTTTTAACAGCCCACTAGCTAATGAATGAATCACTGAAACTTGCCAAAATTTGTGGGATTTCAAGGATCAAAGAACTGGGCAGACTGGAACTCAATTATGACAGAGCCATAACTTGGTATCTCCTTTCTTAGCCCTTTGTTTGCCCATCCCCATTTCCTAAAATGGAAATTCAGAATCAGTAGATCCACAGCAGTGAGGGAAAGCAGTACGAGGGAGAAGTAACAGTCTAGAAGAATCCGCTACCCTCTCTGTGTGCAGACCCAAATGGAGATAGTTATTAGTATAAAGAAAGCACAATTTTAAAAGGTTTTCTTTTTCTGGGCATTTCAGAAAATACGCCAAAGAGTCAGAGCTGCATCTTGAGGTTGAACTGATTCTTGCTTACTCCAACTCCCAGCTTTGATCGACATCATATAAATAGTGTGTCTAACTTACTCATTCTCTTAAATTTCTCTATGGCTCTACCAATGAAAAGAATGAAAAGAAGGTCTTAAAATTCCCTGCAGCATTGCACCTTTATGGAAGGCAGAACTGTGGATGATGTCTGACTCCTGACACTGAAGAAGTATTTGTCTATGCACATGTTTTTTCCAGCACTGCCACATTCAGTCAACTTCATAATAATAAATATGGATGTTTTTCTTTCTTTTTCCCCTCTCCTAACTGCTTCTCTCACTTTCTAACATCAGATTTTTATCCTTCTCAGAAATCATTACAATACTTCTCCAATTATGCAGGCTATTTTTCCTTTCAAAGGAAAAATGGTTTTGATTTTA